CACCTCCGATGGGCGCGGTTGGATATGTACGGCACGAAGGAAGTTCAATGTACACACGCAACACACACACAGCACACACACAGCACACACACACAGCACACACACATAGCACACACACATAGCACACACACACAGCACACACACACAGCACACACACAGCACACACACAGCACACACAGCCCACACACAGCATACCCACACAGCACACACACACAGCACACACACACAGCACACACACAGCACACACACAGCCCACACACAGCACACACACACAGCACACACACAGCACACACACAGCACACACAGCCCACACACAGCACACACACACAGCACACACACACAACACACACAGCCCACACACAGCACACACACACAGCACACACACACGCAGCACACACGCAGCACACACACAGCACACACACACAGCACACACACAGCACACACACACAGCACACACACACATCACACACGCAGCACACACACACACAGCACACACACACAGCACACACACAGCACACACACACAGCACACACGCAGCACACACACACAGCACACACACACATCACACACGCAGCACACACACACAGCACACACACACAGCACACACACACAGCACACACACAGCACACACACACAGCACACACACACAGCACACACGCAGCACACACACACAGCACACACACACAGCACACACACACAGCCCACACACAGCATACACACACAGCACACACACAGCACACACACACAGCACACACACAGCACACACACAGCCCACACACAGCACACACACACAGCACACACACAGCACACACACAGCACACACAGCCCACACAGCACACACACACAGCACACACACACAGCACACACAGCCCACACACAGCACACACACACAGCACACACACACGCAGCACACACACAGCACACACACACAGCACACACACACAGCACACACACGCAGCACACACACAGCACACACACAGCACACACACACAGCACACACACACATCACACACGCAGCACACACACACAGCACACACACACACACAGCACACACACAGCACACACACACAGCACACACGCAGCACACACACACAGCACACACACACATCACACACGCAGCACACACACACAGCACATACACACAGCACACACACACAGCACACACACAGCACATACACACAGCACACACACACAGCACACACACACAGCACACACACACAGCACACACACACAGCACACACGCAGCACACACACACAGCACACACACACAGCACACACACACAGCACAGATTGCGTGTCGCCCTCGTGGCGGGCCAACTTCGTGCACACCGCGGAGTTTTGCGGGAGTCATGAAATGTATCAGCGAGGTAGCAACACGTGCGCTCGAGTTGACGAAGCTCTAATTGGGCGGGGGGGGGGTGATACATATGAGTTGTATCAGCGAGGATGGAATTAAACGTTTGAAATGAAACGTTTGATGCTGATTGTGTTTTTTTTAAGTGTAAGGAGACCCCCCACCACCCAGTGTCAGCTGTCCCTACGCAGCACGGGGGTGTACCTGCCCACGTACGTACGCAGACCGGGCCCTGTCATTGGGCATCTGCCGTCAAGTCGACCCGAAGACTCAGCGTCTCTCCAAATGCCGTGATTATAATATAAATTGGATGTCCCCCCCCCCCCCAAATATTCAAATGTGCTCAAAATATCACCCCCCCCCCACACACACACACACAATATATTGCTATAAAATAAATTTCTGTTTATATGATTGTGGTTATGGTTGTACTTTATTAATGCCTAATCTCTGCTATTACATACAATGAAACAAGAAAAGGTAAAAAAGAAAATAACAGCTGTGTAATACCATACACTATTAGACATTATTGCAAAAAATAAAATAAAAGTCAAGCCTATGTGTTAATGAATTATTTTTATATTTTAGGCAGGAAATTCGTTTTCAAATTTTGATTTTTTTTTCTGGGGCGGGGGGGGGAGACCCCCAGACCCCCCGTGGAAGATTTGGTCCCCCCCAATGTCAACTCCATTGCTTACTGCCTTGCCACGCACACAGATGACACATGAAGACCTACACACACTCATAGCGATACACGGAGACGCATTGGAGACACGTTAAGATTTTTTTCTAGGGGGGGGGGGGGGACCACGGACGGACGGACCTCCAGACCCCGTGGAAGATTTGGTCCCCCCCCCAATGTTGACTCCATGGCTAGGGCCTTGCCGTGCGGTGTTGCATCGGACCACTTGGAAGCAGATTCGTGTGTAGCGAGAGGCGAGACACGCGGTCGGGGAACGATGCAATTGTGAACGAAAAAAAATCCCCGCGACGCAATTGTGCATCCTGCACGCGATTCGGTGACACGCGTTCATTTAATTTGTGTCTCGCGAAAGCAACGGCACCACCCACCCAAACCCATGTACGTCTGTATTATGTATAAGACTTGTGTCAGAATACACGCACGCACAATTGCATTGTACACGTTCTAATTCACGATCAAAATTGACGTCCGGATAATTGTCGCGTAAATTATAGACCCAAAGATACACGCACACGCACACGAACGCACCCATACGTACACTCACGTACACGTGAGCATGCATACAAAAAAACCGCAAGTTTGCACATACACAAACAAAGACAAAGATCCTTCGTGTAGCCTTCGCAGACGATTGGGGCAAGTGCTGTTAGCGATCACCTAGGGGGTGGGTGGCCAGCACCACGCCCGGCCGCCTTTGTCTCCCCAGTGGCGATGTTTACACACCGCACCAGGTACTCATTTGAGGCTGATTCGACCTGACCACACGCTCACATACCCCTAAAAAAAAGACGCACATGCACATACGCACACATACATATACAAAACACACACACACATGAACATGCATATTAGCCGACCCACAAACACAGTACACAAAAGACACACACACACGCACGCACAATCACATTTACACACATACACGGGCACACACACACACACACACAATCACATTTACACACATACACGGACACACACACACGCACAATCACATGTACACACATACACGGGAACATACACAGACACACGCACAATCACATTTACACACATACACGGACACACACACACACAATCACATTTACACACATACACGGGCACACACACACAATCACATGTACACACATACACGGACACACACACACAATCACATGTACACACATACACGGACACACACACACGCACAATCACATTTACACACATACACGGTCACACACACAGATACAATCACATGTACACACATACACGGACACACACACACACGCACAATCACATTTACACACATACACACACACACACGCACAATCACATGTACACACATACACGGACACACACGCACAATCACATTTACACACATACACGGGCACACACACACACAATCACATTTACACACATACACGGACACACACACACACACGCACAATCACATGTACACACATACACGGTCACACACACAGACACAATCACATGTACACACATACACGGACACACACACACACACACGCACAATCACATTTACACACATACACACACACACACGCACAATCACATGTACACACATACATGGACACACACGCACAATCACATGTACACACATACACGGACACACACACACACGCACAATCACATTTACACACATACACACACACACACGCACAATCACATGTACACACATACACGGACACACACGCACAATCACATGTACACACATACACGGGCACACACACACGACACGAAGATCCTTAGCATGGCCTCATAAAGTGGTGTAAAGCGTTGTTAGCGAGCACCTATTAGGCCAGAAATATCGCACGGCAGGTGGTGTTGCCAGAACCACGACCGGCCCTCTTTGTCTTCCCGAGGTTGAGTTGAAACGCTGACTAATATCGCTTCAGATACCACTCGGCCGGGAACCGTTCTCTGCGTAATGCGCTAACCGCTGCGCCACCGCTCCCAACACGCACGAAGACAAAGATCCCCCGTGTAGCTTTAACAGACTGTTGGGGCAAGTGCCGTTAGCGAGTAGCACCTGTGAAGGCTACACGTACGAGCACGCACACACACACACACGTAGCTTGCACACCAATTGTGAGTGAAAAGCGATAACATCTGTACGGGAAAATCTATATATATACACAGATATATTCTCTCTGTCATTTGGTGAAATGCGTACACCTACACAAGTAACACATTCGCTAGGGGGTTTTCACATAAGTTAGAGACCAATTCAGCCACCACAACCTGCCACCATCATCACAACCACCATCATCACAACCACCATCATCACAACCACAACCACCACAACAACCCATGAACAATGTATACATCGCAAACTAACTCCCATATTTCGTACTTTTTTTTTTAGCAAATCTCGACTTGCTGAGCAAACGCCCTAAAGATCCAAAAACTTCAAGCGGTCAGTAACAATCAGCACCGTTGGATTTCTAAGATAGAAGACTTCATATCTCACGAGAGTGCAATACAAGTTCAGCAAGCTCACCTGGTCAGCTCTACCGGAATTAAATTTTGACAATGCAAGGTGAATTTAACGATTCTAAATGAATCACGCAATGTGGAACACGCGAGCCAATGCACAACTGATTAGGTAACATAATTAATGAAGATAACTGTACACAATTAATAAAGATAACACATTAGACAATACACAATTAATTCTAGATTTGAAGATTTCGTGACTGCAAGGATTCATACTCTTTGTTTTTTTCGGTAAAGTCACGTAGGTAAAAAAAAATGAAAACAACTCAATTAAATCACGACGTTTCGGGCGCAACAGAAGCGTCCGTCATCAGTTGGGAAAGCATGTTCTGCTGCTGATGCAGACTGTTTAAAACTAAAAAGTATAACACACAATCAATAAAGACAACACGTTACACAACACATACTTAATAAAGACAACACGTTACACAAGACACAATGAATAAAATAACACGTTAAATAACACACAATCGATAAAGATAACATGTTACACAATACACAAGTAATACAGACAACACGTTACACAACACATAATTAATCAAGTAAACACGTTACACAATACACAAAGGCGGTCGGGCGTGGTGCTGGCCACCCACCCCCTCGTGTACCATTCCGGCCTTCATAGGTGCTATTCGCTAACAGCACTTGCCCCAACAGTCCGTTACAGGCTACACGGGGGATCTTTGTCTTTGTATCTACTCAAAGTGTACAGAAGCACGCGAAGCTAAGGGGCGAAGTTGGGGGGGGGTTCTGAAGACACGCGGTCTCCTTCTCCTCTTGGCTGATGTAGAAGATGCAGAGTAGCGCCTGCCTGGACACACCAGCCTCGCCACACAAAGACAAAGATCACCCCCCCTCGTGTAGCCTGGACAGACTGTTGGGGCAAGTGCTGTTAGCGAGTAGCACCTATGAAGGCCGGCACGGCACATGAGGGGGTGGGTGCCCAGTGGCGATGTTAACTATACATCGCACCGGGTACTTATTTGAGGCCGAGTCGACCTAGGGGAGGCCCAAGACTAGTTCAGATAATCGTCACCGGTGTTGGCCGTGGGCGGGAATCGAACCCGTGTCGTTGGGTTCGTAGCGCAGCGTAGCGCTAACCGCTACACTACCGCTCCCCACTCTGTACACACACAGACACACACAGAGACACACACACAGAGACACACACACAGAGACACACTCACCAGACACACACAGAGACACACTAACACACACACCAGACACACACACACACAGACACACACACACAGATACACACACAGATACACACACACAGACACACACACACAGAGACACACACACAGACACACACAGAGACACACACACAGAGACACACACCAGACACACACCAGACGAGTTTGTATCCCCAGTGTTTATGTTTATGCCAGCTCGTAGCAGCAGCAGCAGGTATTAATTTAAGGCCGAGTCGACCTAGAGGAGCCCCAGGGACGAGTTCTGATACCGCTTGCCTCTGTGTACGATGCTATTTGGTTATTTCGGTGAAGTCACGTAAGGTAGAAAAAATAATAATAAATCAGGACGTTTCGATCGCCGCACAAGCAAACATCTTCAGGTGGGAAAACGGTGTCTTGTGTGGCCATCGAAACGTCGTGATCGATTCATTCCTGCAGTCACGAAAGCTTCACATCTGTGTACGATGTTAAGGGGGGGATTCAACACAACAACAACAACAACCGCCATTCGCCACTAAGTGGCGGTGACGTCACCACGACGCTCGTGCCAGGCCATGTGCACCTTGAGGCCACGTGAAGTGTCGAACACCCGCTGGCAGGAGGTCACGGGGCAGACCCAGCAGGTGCCACGGATCGACTGACTGAGAAGACCGAGATGACTGGCTGATGCACCACCTGTGCCCCCCTACTGTGTAAACTTGCTGTGCTTTAGCCACCCGGCACACACATATGCACACTGACAAATACATAGCAAGCAAGCATACACCACCACCAGCATAGACATTTACACACGTGGACATGCCCGCGTACACACGATTCCAAAGACAAAGATCCCCCGTTGACTGTAGGGGCAAGTGCTGTTAGCGAGTAGCACCTACGAAGGCTGGCACGGTACACGAGCGGGTGGGGTGGCCAGCTCCACGCTCAGCCGCCTTTGTCTCCCCACTGTCGATGCTCACCACACCGCACCAGATACACATTTGAGGCTGAGTCGACCTAGGGGAGATCCAAGACCAACTCGGGTGGCCGGGTTCGTAGCGCAACGCGGTAACCGCTCTCCCCCCCCCCCACCACCACGCGCACAAACGCGCACGCAGCTCTAACAACAACATCAACAACATCAACAACAACAACAACCGACTTGCAAGCAACGGCAACGTCACCCGCAGCTCCGGTGCCAGGCTAGGTACTGGTAGGAGATCACGGGAAACACAACCCCCCCCCCCCAGGTGGTTTAAGATCGACTAACCACGCGCACGAAACAACAGCAACAGCAACAAAGACAATCTTGATTTGACACACACACACAGACGCATTGCCGCCCAACTTATACATTACTATTTTTAATATATCACAAAACGCACGACGTAGACGCCACTCACACGTTCACACGCGGACCGCAATGTACACCCCACGCGCACCTAACGGGTGTGGACCAGCGTCGCGCCAACGTTGGCGGGCCAACGTCGCGCCAACGTTGGCGGGCCGACGTTGCGTGTGGGTTGCCCCCCGATGGCTCTCACTGCAGGGAAACCCCTCCCGAGATGAGGCTGCTGCTGCTCACGACGTTTGCGCCGCTGCTATGAGTCGGCATGCCCGACGAGATCTCTGGGGAGGCTGACGATACGCGCGGTTGCTGCTGCTGCTGTTGTTGTTGCTGCTGCTGCTGCTGCTGCTGCATCTTCTTATTCACTTTCCGTTCCTTCGCTCGTCGGTTCTGGAACCAGATCTTCACCTGCGTCGGCACAGCACGCAGACGCGCAGGTGTGCGCGTTAGCCTGTGTGTGTGTGCATACAGAACGCGCGCGTGTGTGCGTGTGCGTTAGCCTCTGTGTGTGTGCGTGCGCATGCAGAGTGCGCGTGTGCGTGTGTGCGCGTTAGGCTTTGTGTGTGTCACAGCTACGACGGCGCACGGGTGGCACAGTCGGGTTCTTTACAATCGGGTTTCATTGTCTTTTTATATTAAACCCGATCATCTGAGATTGGGAGAAATCCGGGTTAATTGGTTCTAATTGCGGCATCCGAGCGGAACTTCTCAACGTTAGTGTACGGTGGGTTTTTTTCTGGAATTTTTGCTGTTTTTCCCCCCTAGATTTTCAGTTTGCACATAGTCACATAGTAACTTTAAGATTTTTCTTGTTCGTGTGTTTTGTTTGTTGCGGTTGCACCCGATTCAAGAGCCGAATGGCTCACAGTGCTATACCTACTAAATGAACTTAATGGGCTTCATCCATTCCAAGCTAAGGAACTCACTGGCGCCCACGATTGTGGAGGAGAAGCTCGTGTTCATCAAGACCAACCTGCCTGCCGCATTCTACAACTACCTCGTGCCCGATGGCCCCGAGTACGATAGCAGCACCGACGAGGAAGCAGCCTATGCCTTGGATCAGAGTTTCGCATTCATTAAACCAGGTTTCAATCCCCGAAATCGGGTTTAATGTATTAAAGAAAAAACCCGATGCCTGCCGCTGTAAAAAAAAAATCGGGTTTGTGTCCACCCTTGTGACATCGATCGAGTTCCTGGCTGGAGGCCCTGACCTGTCTCTCGGAGAGGCCCAGGTGCGATGCGAGCTCGGACTTGCGCCTGATGGTGATGAATCGGTTCGCCTGGAACTCCTTCTCCAGCTCCAGCCGCTGATAGTCCGAGTACACCACGCGGTACTTATCCTTGGTACGCGTTTTGCCTGCGGGGAAGAACGGAGAGTTGTTGTTGTTGTGGTGGTGGTGGAGGGGGTGGGGGTGGGTGGGGAGGTGATGAATTGAAATCAGGGAATTTTTTTGTCGGGGAAATTTTTACAGGATGACGTCACCCTGCTGCTGCTCTATATAAGAACGGGAGACACAGCAGAGCCTCACCATTCTGGCGAATTGCCCGATGATGCTGGATGCAATTACCAGCGAAACGTCGTACTCAAATTGTAAATGTTGTGGTTTCGCGCTTCAACACACCGGTGGGCTAAAGCACTGAACTAATTGTCTTTTGTCAACGTGACACTTTTTTACTGATTGGCCGTGTCGGGTGGTGGAGGGTTACGACACATTTATAAATAACGCGATCTAAACCCAAAAACGTTGATTATGAATAATATTGGTCGCGAAAGCCTGCTACGTGTTAAACTGAGGGTTTTCTGCGTCCTCCAAAACTCCCAACCGCCTGGGCTCCCCTCCCCCCCGCCCCCTTCCCTGCCCCCAATTGGGGGGGGGGGGGGCACGGAAATATATTCCGGAGCTCAGCCATGGGCAGCTCCAGCTGAAATGAAGGACCGATTTATATATATATATTTATATATTTATTTATTTCAAACACCAAATCAAAACTAAATGTACTTGTTAAAGTTACGACGTATATCCGATGAGTGTTCCGGTTGTGTCGCGTGTTGTTCGGCGACATGTCCGACGTTTCGCTTCACCTCCCCGGGCGAGGCCTTGAACGCCGTGCCAAACCATCGCGCGCGTCGCCCCGAACGAATGCACAACAGCAGCATGGGCAGAGGCGTGCAATGAATACGTGAATAACGGTAACAAGTTCTGATTCTGCACAAGCCGCGACTAACCCAACTCAGGAGTGGCGTTACGCTGTTACGCTGGAGCTAATCACGTCTGCACCGAGGCTCTCACAGTAATTCTAGATTTGAAGCTTTCGTGGCTGCAAGGATTCATATTCTTAGGTTTTTTTTCTCGGTAAATTTACGTAGGTAAAAAAATGAAATTAATAAAAGAAAAAGAAAAGAAAAATCACGACGTTTCGGAGGCAACACAAGCTTCCGTCTTCAGGTGGAACCGTCACAGCACGATAGCTGTATCAAGTAAATGAGAGAAATTCCAAGAAACAGTATTTCTATATATATACTGGTTGAAGGTGGGAGGAGCCAAGGTAGGCACGTGGATATTATTATTGTGAGGTTCGGTGCGGCTGAAGCACGCTGTTAGGAATGAGCCTTTGTTGTGTAAACTAGGTGCGGATGATGTAAAGGTGCGTGTAAAAGGGACTGAGCCTTTTTGTTATGTAGAGATGATGCGGCTGAAATCACTGCGGTCCGAATCCGCGGCCACGTATGGGACAAGTTTTTCGAGGCTGCATGGAGGCGCGTAATGCGAATGCGCACGAGAACAAGGGAGACAAACGCCGTCGACAGAGATCATCACGCAGATGGACAATTGACTGTGTGTGTGGGGGGGGGAGGGTGTCAGTCAGATCGATCGCGTCGTAAACCCTCCGCCACCTGACGCAGGCAGATTATTACTTTCGCCACGTGATGAAACACACGTGGCCTAATTATAGAGGCGGGTTTTGGAGGGGGGTGTTAGATGGCGTCAATATATAAATGTGTCGTTAAACCCGCCACCACCCGACACAGCCAATTAGTGAGGGTTGTCACGTAAACAGACACATACCATCTTCTTGGTTCTTTCGGTAAAGTCACGTAGAAGGGAAGTAATAAAATAATAAAAATAAAACATAATAAAATTTCAATTTTATTAATTTTAATTTTATTTTAATTTTATTATGTTTCATTTTTATTATTTTATTACTTCCCTTCTACGTGACTTTACCGAAAGAACCAAAAAGATGAATCCCTGCAGTCACGAAAGCTTTAAATCAAGACACATGCCAATCAGTGACTTACTTCAGCACCACAAGGTGCGTTGGAGAGTCAAGCCACAAACAGCACCCACAATTCGAGTGCACGATTTCACGAACCTCGCGAATTTTCACTGCCGGGTGAAGGTGGGTTTTAACGACACATTTACGCGATCTAACACTACACTATACAATCCTATACATTGCACTACTATACATTAGTATACACTACACTATACACTACTATAGACTACTATACACTACACTATACACTACACTATACACTACTATACATTAGTATACACTACACTATACACTACTAGACACAACTATACATTACTATACACTACACTATACACTACACTATACACTACACTATACACTACACTATACACTATACTATACACTACTAGACACAACTATACATTAGTATACACTACACTATACACTACAATACACTATACACTACTATACACTGGACTACTATACATTAGTATACACTACACTATACACTACTATACACTACTATACACTACACTATACACTACACTATACACTACTATACATTAGTATTCACTACACTATACGCTACTAGACACAACTATACATTACTATAAACTACACTATACACTACACTATACACTACACTATACACTATACTATACACTACTAGACACACTATACATTAGTATACACTACACTATACACTACAATACACTATACACTACTATACACTGCACTACTATACATTAGTATACACTGCACTATACACTACTAGACATAACTATACATTACTATACACAACACTATACACTACTATACACTACACTATACACTACACTATACACTACACTATACACTACTAGACACAAATATACATTACTATACACTACACTATACACTACTATACACTACAATATACACTACACTATACACTACTATACACTACACTATACACTACACTATACACTACTATACACTACTATACACTACACTACTATACATTACTATACACTACACTATACACTACTATACACTACACTATACACTACACTATACACCACTATACATTAGTATACACTACACTATACACTACTAGACACAACTATACATTACTATACACTACACTATACACTACTATACACTACACTATACACTACACTATACACTACACTACTATGCACTACACTATACACTACTATACATTACTATACACTACACTATACACTACACTATACACTACTATACATTACTATACACTACACTATACACTACTATACACTACACTATACACTACTATACACTACTATACACTACACTATACACTCCTTTACACTACTATACACTACACTATACACTACTCCACTATACACTATTATACACTACTAGACACAACTATACATTACTATACACTACACTATACACTACTATATACTATACACTACACTATACACTACACTATACACTACACTATACACTATACTATACACTACAATACACTATACACTACTATACACTACACTACTATACATTACTATACACTACACTATACACTACTATACACTATACACTACTAAACATTACTATACACTACACAATACACTACTATACACTATACACTATTATACACTACTAGACACAACTATACATTACTATATACTACACTATACACTACTATACTATACACTACACTATACACTACACTATACACTACACTATACACTACTATACATTACTATACACTACACTATACACTACTATACACTATACACTACAATACACTATACACTACTATACACTATAACACTACTATACACTATACACTACTATACACTATACACTACTAACATTACTATACACTACACTATACACTGCTATATACTATACACCACTATACACTATACACTACTAAACATTACTATACACTATACACTACTATACACTATACACTACTATACACTATACACTACTATACACTACTATACACTATACACTACTATATACTATACACTACTATATACTATACACTACTATATACTATACACTACTATACACTAACACTACTATACACTATACACTACTATACACTATACACTACAATACACAGACTGTAGCTCTTCCCTGGGACTGCGTGAACAGTTACCGTGACTGTGCTCCCCGCCATGCGTACTCGACTAACGAGTCTATAACACAGATAACAACCCCTGAAGGGGCCATACATTTAGTGCGTACTGTACGCATGGAGGGGGAAGGAGGAGGGGGTTAACCCAAATGCGTTCACTTGCGTATGGGGGCGTCTACTGACAATGGGGTGGGTGGTGAAGCCTCGATAATAATTGTCTACATCAACTGAGTTCGATAGTCCGGCGGTGTGGACTATCTGATTTGCTTCAACACGTGAATATTATTCATAATCCTTGATCATTTCTGCGTGGATTAATATCGGCCGTTCTATAGGATTCGGGGGTGGTGGTGGTTTTGTAAAAAGTCCGCGTGCGTACAGAGAGGGGTCACGCTTTTGACAGATTGTGTTTGCGTGCGCACTCGATGGACGGCCCCAAACCATTCGCCACGATCCTGTCGCAAATCATTTGATGAAATGACGACGTATCTGCGAAACCACGTGAAACGGGGAAAGGCGTAAATCATCTGGAGGGGAACCCGCTGTGCACGAACATCAGCCCCGCAAGCAGCGAGCGGGTCTGCTGGCGGTGTTAGCGAGCACCGCTTCAGGTCGGCACGAATCACGCCGCGTGACGGAGCGAGGTTGGGCAACATCCGTGCACACACACACACACGTGCGTGTGTTTGTGGCAGAGGTCGCAAACGGGTTTTGATTCCTTACCCGTACCCCGGCTGCACCAGTGGTCGCAAATGGATACCCGTACCCGTACCCTACCCGTACCCGGCCGGGTATCGGGTAGGGTACGGGTATCGGGTACCTGATTGCGACCTCTGGGATGAAGCCATGTTGCAGGCGCGGGTGGGTTGATTCTAGGAACTTGAATTGTGAGAAGAGACAAGACGTTGGGGAATGAGTGACAAACAGTTACTCACCAGTGACTCACGGCCTACCCGTACCCGTACCCGGCCGCACCAAGG